TACCCTAGAGGAAGGTGTTCTTGCGCGACATCAACCATGAAGTATTGGTAATATACAAAGCTTCAAAATTCTGAGGCACTTTGCCAAGAGCATTCTGAGGCTGCTTTGCAACGTCGGCACCTTCTGAGAGAGTGTTTAGAAAGCTGTTAATTTTTTACACTCTTGGCGAGCTAAGTTGAGCCAGAAATTTTCAGGCATTAATGATGATAAATGTAATTCTATTATGTGGTATTGGGTTTGTATTTATTCTTGGATATAAAGTATTTGTATTTGACCGCTAAAATCAGTATTTGATCAACCTGATTACATACATATATGCATACATACATACATTATACATACATGCATACATACATACATACATACATACATACAATACATACATACATACCGTACATACAGGGTACATACATACAGTGCATACTGTACCGTGCATACATTACATGCCCTTGGTCGTATCTATCCATCCATCATCCATCCATCGGTCAACCATCCCATCCATCCATCCATCCATCGATCCACCACCCATCCATCCATCCATCCATCAGTCAACCATCCATCCATCCATCCATCCGTCGATCCAATCATCAATCCATCGATCAATCCATCCATCAAGTCATCCATCAATCCGTCAAATCCATATCCATCCAGATCAGCCATCAATCCGTCCATCAACCATCCGTCAATCCATCCGATCAACCTCATCCGTCATCATCCATGTCAACCATCCATCAATCCAGTCAGACCATCCATCCATCCATCCATCCATCCATCCATCGATCAAATCCGTCCATCCATCATCCATCCATCCATCCATCCATCCATCCATTCATCCATCCGGTTAACCTTCCATCCAACCATCCATCCATCAACCATCCATTCATCCATCAGTCAACCTTCCAGTCAACCATCCATCCATCCAACCATCCACTCATCCATCAGTCAACCATCCATCCATCCATCCATCAGCCAGTTAGACAGAGTGGAACAGGGTTGTCTAAACCTTAAAATTGAAACTGATTCTAAAACACAATAGTCGACAAAAAAGTAACAAAATATATATATGTAAATTGGATTTTTCCTTAATTGTAAAACAGAAGAAAAAATATGAAGATTTTAAATATTAATGGTGGTGGGTTGGTGGTGGGGTTGAGAGTGGGTTGGTGTTGAGTGGGTTTGGTGACTGTCTATAGTTGAGGTGGGTTTGGTGACTGTCTGTTGGTGGGTTTGGTGAGGTGGGTTGAGGTTGAGGTGGGTTGGTTGTTTGAAGGTGGGTTGGAGACTGTCTGTAGATGGGTTTTGGTGGGTTGGTGGGTTGGTGACTAGAGGTTGGGTGGGAGGAGATATAGAGAGAGAGAAAGAGAGGTTCATATAGTCTCCTCTGATAAGCAGGTGTTTAATTGAGTGTTAATCAACCCCCTGTTTACCTGGTGAGTCTTTAGTGTTGGTCTCTCTCTCTCTCTCTCTCTCTCTCTCTCTCTGCTACTGAATCTCCTCCTCCTCCTCCTCCTCCTCCTCCTCCTCCTCCTCCTCCTCCTCCTCCTCCCTTCTCCCTCCTCCTCCTCCTTCTTTCACTTCCTTCTTCCCTCTTTATTCTTCTTTAAGATTTCGTCTCTCTTTATTTCTTCATTCTCTGTCCTCCTTCCTCTCTCCTTTCCTCCTTTTCTCTCCCTCCCTTTCTTCCATCTTTCCTTCCTCCCTCCTTCCCTCCTTCTTTTCCTTCGGTAGATCAAATAACTAAGGACTTGGGGGGAGTGGGCTCAGGGTTGCTATGGTGACAGACTTTGGGGCGGGTCTCGTGTAGCTCTCCTCCCATCAGTGTCCAGGTCGTCCTCAGTCAGTGTCCAGTCGTCCTCAGTCATTGTCCAGTCGTCCTCAGTCAGTGTCCGGTCGTCCTCAGTCAATGTCAGGTCGTCTCAGTCAATGTCCAGGTCGTCCTCAGTCAGTGTCAGGTCGTCCTCAGTCAGTGTCAGGTCGTCCTCCAGTCAGTGTCAGGTCGTCCTCAGTCAGTCAGGTCGTCCTCAGTCAGTGTCAGGTCGTCTTCAGTCAGTGTCAGGTCGTCCTCAGTCAGTGTCCAGGTCGTCCTCAGTCAGTGTCAGGTCGTCCTCAGTCAGTGTCCAGGTCGTCCTCAGTCAGTGTCAGGTCGTGTCAGGTCGTCCTCAGTCAGGTGTCAGGTCGTCCTCAGTCATGTCCAGGTCGTCCTCAGTCAGTGTCCAGGTCGTCCTCAGTCAGTGTCCAGGTCGTCCTCAGTCAGTGTCAGGTCGTCTTCAGTCAGTGGCCAGGTCGTCCTCAGTCAGTGTCAGGTCGTCTCAGTCAGTGTCAGGTTGTCCTCAGTCAGTGTCAGGTCGTCCTCAGTCAGTGTCCAGGTCGTCCTCAGTCAGTGTCCAGGTCGTCCTCAGTCAGTGTCCAGGTCGTCCTCAGTCAGTGTCGGAGTCGTCCTCAGTCAGTGTCCAGGTCGTCCTCAGTCAGTGTCCAGGTCGTCCTCAGTCAGAGTGTCAGGTCGTCCTCAGTCAGTGTCAGGTCGTCCTCAGTCGTCCAGATGTCATCCAGTCAGTGTCCAGGTCGTCCTCAGTCAGTGGCCAGGTCGTCCTCAGTCAGTGTCCAGGTCGTCCTCAGTCAGTGTCAGGTCGTCCTCAGTCTCGAGTCTCAGGTCGTCTTCAGTCAGTGTCAGGTCGTCCTCAGTCAGTGGCCAGGTCGTCTTCAGTCAGTGTCCAGGTCGTCCTCAGTCAGTGTCAGGTCGTCCTCAGCCAGTGTCCAGGTCGTCTTCAGTCAGTGTCAGGTCGTCCTCAGTCAGTGGCCAGGTCGTCTTCAGTCAGTGTCAGGTCGTCCTCAGTCAGTGTCAGGTCGTCCTCAGTCAGTGGCAATGTCTCTGGTTCCTGGAGACTCGTAATTGTCTCTCATTAAAGGAGCATTAACGTATCTCCTTCTCTGTCTCTCTCGTTGAGTGAGAATATTGATGGCTGAGGTGATGGAGGAGAGGGAGGGAGAAGTGAGAGGGGGGAGGGAGGAGGGAGGGTAGTAGAGGGAGGGAGAGGGTAGTAGGGGAGGAGGGAGAGAGAGGAGGGGTGGAGGGAAGGAGGGAGGGAGGGAGGGGGATGGAGGGGAAGGAGGGAGGGAGGAGGGAGGGGTAGTAGAGGGGGGGGAGGGAGGGGTAGTGGGGGAGGGAGGAGGGTAGTAGGGGGAGGGAGGAGGAGGAGGGAGTAGTGGGGAGGGAGGGAGGAGGTGGTGGGGAGGAGGGAGGGTAGTAGAGGGAGGGAGGGGGGAGGAGGAGGGGGTAGTAGAGGAGGGAGGAGGAAGTGAGAGGGAGGGAGGGAGGAGGGAGGGAAGGAGGGAGGTAGTGGGGAGGGAGGAGGAGGGTAGTAGAGGGAGGAGGGAGGGGAAGGAAGTGAGGGGATATGATACACCATTACACCATTATTGTGCCACTTTAATGACCTAATTAGAAAGTATGAGGAACTAAGTTTTTTGTTTATATTATCCACAATTAGTATGCTTCATTAAAGGGTTTCTTGGGATTTGATTGGCTGAGACTCCCTGTTACCAGCAGACACATGACGTAGATTTCCCCCATCTTCTTTCTTCCCATCTCAACCCATCATATCTTTGTATTCTCTCTCCTCAAAATAGCCCTTTCTCCCTTTTCCTTCAAAATAACCCTTTTCCCATTTACCCCTCAAAATGGTCCCTTCCTTCCCCCTCAAAATGGTCCTATTCCCTTTTCCCCCCCCTCAAAATGGCCCTTCCTTCCTTTCCCCCTCAAAATGGCCCTTCCTAGTCATTCCCCTTCCTCTCTTAATAGAATCCTTCATTCCCTAACCCTTCCAAAATTCTCCTTCTTTTCCTTCAAAATTACCTCCTTATCCTCCTCCTCCTCCTCCCTTCCAAAATCACCCTTTCACTTCCTCCTCCTCCTCTTCCTCCTCCTCCTCCTCTTCCTCCTCTTCCTCCTCCTCCTTCCTCAAAAATTAATCACCTTCCTTCCTTCCTTCCTTCCTTCCTTTGAACACCTCCTCCCTAATTATCACTCTGACCATGTCTCTACGCTGACGATCAAAGGTGAGTCATAGGCCAATCAACCAGGTAATTAGCGAGTAGTAATAATAATCTTTAATTAGCCCAGGTGAGTTTTTTATAATAAGTCAGTACCTGAGAATTGTGTGTGTGTGTGTGTGTGTGTGTGTGTGTGTGTGTGTGTGTGTGTGTGTGTCCACGAAACATAATCGTCGTAATAAGGACCAAACTAATATTATTTTGTATTTATTTATCTTAAGGTCACAAACTAAATACTACAACAACAACAACAACAATAACAATAACAACAACAATAATAATAATAAACAATAACAACATAAAATAATAATAATAACAATAACAATAACAACAATAACAATAAACAACAATAATAACTAAATAACAATAATAACAACAACAACAACAATAACAATAACAACAACAATAATAACAACAACAACAACAATAAGTTATATGATGAAACAAAACAATGAGAAACTGCCTGTCTGTCTGAGTGTCTGTCTATTTGTGTCTGTCTGTCTGTCTGTCTGTCTGTTTGTTTGTCTTAGTGTCTGTCTGTCTGTTTGTGTTTATATCTCGATCTATCTGTTTTTTCTATCTGTCAGTTTGTGTTTTGTCTGTCTGTCTGTCTGTCTGTCTGTCTGTCTCACATGAAGGAATCAGAGACAAAAACAACACACGTGACCTTGGCTTATTCTCATTGGCTCATATGTTCTCTTTCTCCCTCTACAACAATGACCGTAAACTTAGCTTTCTGATTGGCTCATATTTTTTTCTCTCTAAACACAACCAATGACCGTAAACTTAGCTTTCTGATTGGCTCCTTATTTTTATCTCTCTCAACACAACCAATGACCGTAAACTTAGCTTTCTGATAGGCTCATATGTTCTCTCTTTCTCCTTTACACAGCCAATAGCCATGAACTTAGTTTTCTGATTGGCTCATATTTTTCTTTCTCTCTCGACAGGACCAATGATCGTGAAGAATGTTGTTGAGTGGGCGTGGCATCGTGTGGGCGGTCTGGGTGATCGTCCTAGTCAGTGCAGTGACCCACCTGGGAGGTGGCGGCAACACGCTCTCAGGAGATGGTGAGTCTTATCTTCAAGGTGAGAGTCTTGGTCTTTAGTCTTAGTATACAGTCTTAGTCTTTAGTCTTAGTGTTTAGTCATAGTCTTAGTGTTTAGTCTTAGTCTTAGTCTTTAGTCTTAGTCTTTAGTCTTAGTGTTTAGTCTTAGTGTTTAGTCTTAGTCTTAGTGTTTAGTCTTAGTCTTTAGTCTTAGTATTTAGTCCTATTCTATTGCTTTATTAGTCTTAGTTTTTAGTCTTTCGTCTTAGTCTTTAGTCTTTAGTCTTAGTCTTTAATCTTTAGTCTTCAGTCTTTAATCTTTAGTCTTAGTCTTTAGTCTTAGTATTTAGTCTGATTCTTTAGTTTTAGTCTTTAGTCTTAGTCTTTAGCCTTAGTCTTTCGTCTTGGTCTTTAAGAACATGAGAATGAAGGAAACTGCAGCGGGCCTATTGGCCCATACTGGGCAGTCCCGTTTACACCCAACCCCTATCGCTCATATATCCACCCAACCTGTGTTTGAAGCTATTCAGCGTATTCCAGTTAATGATGATATTGGTAACTTGTTCCATTCATCCACTACTCTGTTTCCAAACCAGTGTTTACCTATTTCGCTAAATCTAAATTTGTCTAATTTAAAACCATTGTAACGAGTTCGCTCCTGGTTGGATAGTTTGAGTACCTTTGTTATATCACCTTTGTTCAGCCCTGACTTCCATTTATACACCTCTATCATATCGCCCCTCACTCTACGTCTCTCGAGGGAGTGCAACTTAAGATGCTTTAACCTGTCTCAGTACTCAAGGTTCCTAATGCACCGGGATTAGTCTTGTCGTTCTCCTCTGAATTCTTTCTCGGGATTCTGTAATACGGTGACTAGAATTGAACTGTGTAATCCAGTTTGGTCTCACAAGCGCAAGATATAGTTTTAGGATGACCTCCTTAGTCTTGCAACTACTTTCCTCCTTTGTATAACCCAAGTACTTTGTTAGCCTTGTTACGAACCAGACATTGTTGACTCGGTTTAAGATTCCTACTTATCATTACTCTTAAATCTTTCTCACAGTCTGATATCTCTATAACATCGATGTTCGTCTAGTATCTGGTTCTGTTCACATCTCCTAGATTAAGTACTTCATTTGTCCACATTAAATTTCATCTGCCAATTTTCAGACTATTTGAGAAATTTGTTTAGATCTTCCTGTAGTCTTGCGGAGTCCTCATCAAATTTAATTACACGTCCTATTTTAGTGTTGTCATCAAATTGACTTATGTTTCTGTCTATGCCGATATCTATGTCGTTTATGTATATAATAAATAATAATGGTCTAAGTACTGAGCCTTGATTGATTGTTAATCTTATAACTGTGTCTTGGATAAACTACTACTACTACTACTACTACTAATACTACTACTACTACTACTACTAAAATAACCTGTCAGAATAGTAGCACAGACATAATTAAACTATTACCATTATTAAATTTACATTGAGTCTTTGTAGATATTATGACTCCCAATAATATAATGAGGACGAATTACTGTGACTGTCTGTTAAAAGCCTGTCCTCCTCTCCTCTTACAGGATAGCGACGACAGAAAGGAGCAGGTCCTACAGGAGGTGTCACAGATGACCTCAGGAAGCCTCGGCACCACCTGCATGGCTCCACCCTTCTACAGGTAGGTTACAGGTCTCTGCTACAGGTGTCAAAGGCTTGTAAGGTAACTCGTAGGTCTCTCTCTCTCTCTCTCTCTCTCTCTCTCTCTCTCTCTCTCTCTCTCTCTCTCTCTCTCTCCTTCTCTCAGTGCTATACCAGAAACCTCAATTTAAGTGGGTTACAGGTCCTGATATTCTACAGGTTCATACAGGTACTTATCAGGTCCAACAACAACCACAGGTACTTAACAGGTCTTCCTACCCCCACAGGTTCGCCTGGGCTCCCCTGCAGGTCCCTTCGACTTGGCCCAGACAGAAGGCTGACCTCTTAGTGCAGATCCTCAGGGGCAAGGAGGGACCTCAGCATGATGGAAGTTCCACTGCCAAGGAAGTCATCACAAGTCAGGGGTCATCACAGGTCACCATGGGTCATCACAGGTCACCAGGGGTCATCACACGTCACGGGGTCATCACACATCATCAGGGGTCATCACAGGTCTGGGGGTATCACAGGTCAGGGGTCATCACACGTCACCAGGGGTCATCACGTCACCAGGGGTCATCACACGTGATCAGGGGTCTCTGAGTCACAAGGGTCATCACGGTCACCAGGGGTCATCACACGTCACCAGGTCATCACGACATCAGGGGTCATCACACGTCACCAGGGGTCATCACACGACATCAGGGGTCATCACACGTCATCAGGGGTCATCACACGTCATCACAGGACACCAGGGGTCTTCAT